GTTCAATGGGAGGCGCGTAATTAAGGCGAGGTTAGCCATTAATTAGGTCACTTCGCACTTCGGCGCGAAGTAATGTCAGTCGAGACTAACGTCGCACACCCATGGAGAGTTGGTTCAACTGGTATCTTTGGTTACAGGACTGTTGTCAACTGAAATTTCTCTCACTAAGAGAATCAGACGAAAAAGCGGTATCTGCGTGTCGTGCCTACCAAAAGAAGTAGGGTCTGTCCACTTAATGTCCGTATTCTCCTCCCAGCGGGAAAAGGAGGATGTGTGGTAAATCGGCAAGGGTGTAGCATGTTGATCAGTGCAAGAAATACTCTTACTCTTTGAGAAGTAAGGGGCTGGTTTTTGTTTTAATATCAGTATAATTACATAAGAAATCCATGTGACATTGCAGGAAATCCAAGCTTTCGAGTTATTGCTACTTCGTTTTCATGTCAGTGAGCGCTGAGATCAACGAGATCGTTTGAAGACCTGCAACAGCAATAAATCACTCTAAACCCGACAGTGTTTGCTATGTATTACAATGTAATACTAGTCAGATCGCCGGCTAACAACGGGTTCTCGTCCCTTTTATGTTAAGGTTGAAAAGTCTCACTGAAAGCTATCATTACTCCCGCTTTCTTCTCTTGAAAATAAGAGTACTTTGTAGCCCCTCGATTTTGAGTAGTACGGTTAAGCACTGGTCGAAATCGTTCCCATTCGACATTCTCTTGCTGCTCACGCTCATAGTTGGAACACTATTGACTTAATGGAACAAACTTGATCGGTCATGACACTGAAGACCGATGTAGGAAACTAGTGCATCGGCCAACGCCCCCACAGGGATGTGCGTTCCTACTTTTTTTCGGGGGTGAATGGGCAGGAATCATCCGTGAATATGAATCTTTTGTGCGAATTGAAGATTTGAAGGAAATATTAGGTGTAGGGTCTCGAAAGGAAATTGAAGGGATTTCCTAAGATTCCATTGCGGTCGTTCTTTGCCAATCTCAATCACAAGGAGTTGCGGAAAGCCAATGCGGCGTGACCCCTTAATCGGTTATAGAGTCGCAACCCTTCCCGTGGAAGACTCCTAGAACTCCTAGAAGCCGATTTCGAGCTTCATATCCCTCCCCCCTCTCCTCCAGGAGTTCAGTCCTCTCATCTACTATTAGTATTCCAATCTTGGGCGGCTGTAACAATTGCGAACTTCAACGTTCTATCTTCAGTGGAGCAGTTATGCGCACCGTCTGCTTTGATCTGGCGGAGTTGCACCTGAAGCTTGCGATCAGTGGTATAACCCTGCTGCTTGTATCCATCCCAAATTCGAAAAGTCTGAGTCAACCAGGATCGACAATATGGTTCCCTTAGATAATGTAATTAACTCCGGGAGTGACAAAGAAAGAAACGAAGTACAAGATGGGTCCAGTTTCGAGTGATGGGTACTTCTGTGTCACTATTCACGGACCACCGAATTTGGGGAACAGTCAGAGATACCTTTTTCTTTTTGATGTCGCACAAGCGATAGATAGCATTTTCGATCGGAACTTGCCCAGGATATTCCGACCTGGTTAAGACGATCCAAACTCACGAATCAAAGATTGCCGCCGAGTCGGCTCCAGTGTAGGTCCTGCACAAGTCATCTTCTAAGTAATTTGTATCTGAAGTGAAAACACAGACTTAGAAGGAAATCATGAAATCCGCCACGGATTGGGCAGATCTTGACTTCCCCTTCTGCATTCATTCTTCAGCTCCTATCACTCCACATGACAGTGGTTTGAAATAGTCAGTGACGTTGAGAGGGGAATCATTGCAAAATGGAAGACTCACCGGTTCTATCGGTCCAATAACATGTTCTAGTGGTTCTTGTACTGGTATGGGTATTGGCATATTCAGTGTTGCCTTCACGACAATTACCTGTACTTCTAGCAACCGGCATGTTTATCTGAGAGCTGATATAGCCCTCTAAAGTAATAGAATTTTGTTTGTAACCGACACAAATCAGCACTATATTATTTTTGATCACCTTCAACAACGAAAAATTATAGATAAAATTGAAAATGCTTCACCAGGAAACTGGTTATTGGAGTGGTTGAATTCCTCTACGATAGTGTTCCCCAGACCGGAGAGCCTACACCTACGTAATGCTGAGTAGGAAGAAAGGCATCTCCATCAGCTTTTCGTGATTCGAAAAATATTTGAGCGACTACCCGATTCCGCAATTACTTGCTCATGTTAACGTTTTATGTTTTGCTCTAATTCTAATCTCCTTCTCATCTACCCTCTTCATCAGAAGACTATATCGCTATGTTGTTTCATATTACCGTTAACAACACTAGTGGTGCTACAGTAGCCATTATGCTACACCTGTTCAACAAATGCTAGGTTACTTATCGCTCAAAATGTCCATGAGGAATCTCATGTCACTAGACATCTGTAGTCTGTATGAGCCTTCTGCATATTTTGGGGTTAATACCCATTTGGTCAAAAAGAACTTATTGAGTTATGCAAGAATTATATTTGCTGTCCCCCCAACTCGAAGTGGAATCTACGTCGCCATTGATTTGAAGACCACCGTTTCAGAATGTTACCTACTCTTGCAGTTACCCCTTGACGATTACGCTCCTTGGAGCACTTTTAAAAATAGACGTAGAAAATACAAATTCTTTTACCTCTGCCGATTCCAGAGACTCCTACTATAGATGGTTGTGGCCTCTCGGATCCTGCAATTGATACCAGCTGTGTTTATAGTGGAATGAACTCTATCGCTACTCACTTATCATTTTTCTTTGATGAAAGTGGTTTTCAAACAAATACTCAGACCAGACCCGCAAGAGCTTTACTTCCAGAAAAACACTTTTTTTTACCTCAGAGGAAATAGGTTTTTAGCTCTCAAAAATATGATGCTACTGAGCTTTATCAGAACCTCTTCACAAATTGTCAGCAGCAAGGGCAGATAGGAATGTCTTGAATACGCCACGTACATAGGTCGAAGCTGTTGATGGCACGTTGTGATTGATTTCGTCTTCGGGAACGAGACAATATTCGATCTAGTGCTTCTATCATCCTAAGCAACTGTCTAGGTGAACGAACAGTTCCAGGCCCTTCAGTTACCTGATCACAAGGAGCACGAATCAGTCTCACGAAAACACAAGATTCCCCTTTCTCATTTAACCAGGCCACTTTCATTGTACAGTTGATCTTATAGTTTGTTTCCTGAGAGAAAAGCTCACGGAGCCTCTTGTTATGCAGGTTTTCCAAATCCTAACTCCAAGGATAAAGTTGTTTGGAAAGCGAAGATGAAAATCAAAGATTGAGAGCTCATCGGTACAACCTAACAGGGTCGTTTACTCACACAATACTCAGCGGACCTTAATAACTGATCCAAAATCCAAAAACGCTCTTGAACTGTCAGAAATCAGTCATATGAGAAGCTGATTTCTGACTGCTGCCTTGGTCACAAAAGATATCCAACAGAGTGATAGGTTCCTTCATTCTAACTAACCCTACAGGGTCATTTCACAAAAGACAAGGCAATATAAGTTTAAGAAAAAATCAGGTTAAACTCACCACTATAGCCTTTTTTCATCGGCTCTGAATGCACAATAACTTGTGGTAGTGGTCGTGATATGGGTGAACGTGGAAGTCTTAGTGGTGGAGGCAGTTGTGGTGCTGGTGGCGGAAGTTGTAGCGGTGCCGGTGGTGGAAGTGCACGAATCGAAGGAGACGAAGCAAATAGTAGCATAATAGTGTCATGACCTTTGCCTTTAACTTTTGGAGCTGGTTCCAATAGCCCTCCTAACCCTCGCAGTCCCAGCAGTCCCTCAAGTCCCAGCAGTTCCCAAAGTTCCTCCAGTATCCCCATTCCTCCCATTGCTACCATTCCCCCCGTTCCCATTGGGCTACACATAGCTGAAAGTGAGGCTCCTCCATCACAACCAACGTCTGACGGTTGCCTGCAACACAACAAAAGAGATCAGTCCACGCACGCCCTCAAAGAAGATTACCTCAGAGGTTGAAAAATGGATCTTGCACTTCAGACTTTCTACCTCAATGTGCAGTAGGTAATCTTCTCGCTAAGCGGCAGGAACTTAAAAAAAACGCATCTTTCTAATAACGATGGCTTTCTACTCATCACGGGGGGAGGCGCTGAGATTCAAATACTGTACTTTGACCGCAGCTGTTTCATAAAAAGAGCGGAAACTCGAACTGCCATTTGGAAAAAATACAGTGGAAAAAAAGAGAAATCCAGTTCATGTTAGGCGATACTTGTCATGAGCACGGCTAAGCTCTGGTTCAATTTGCAAACCAATCCGATCACCTAATGGAGCTTATGGTGAAATTGCGCCTCGTGATTCGCAATCGAAGGAGAAAATGTCTGTAGGGGAGTCAGGGAGTTAGTGCTTGGTCCATCTCTCAGTAGTAGTCAGTTTGATCCGATCTTCATTCAGTGAACGGCACTATTCACATTCTACAACCGCATTTCCAAANNNNCAGGGAGTTAGTGCTTGGTCCATCTCTCAGTAGTAGTCAGTTTGATCCGATCTTCATTCAGTGAGCGGCACTATTCACATTCTACAACCACATTTCCAAAATAGTTTGCCAGATTCGATCAGAACTTAGCCTTCTGGGATGGGTTCCCTTAAAAACTAGCTTCTGAGGATATTTCACCCGACTAGTTCAATTAAGATATCCGTTGGACACGAAAACTTCGAATCACTTTGAATCACTTATTTGACCAAAAACTGGACCTCATTGCAGGAATAGAATGCCCCCTCGACCCTTTTTTTATGAACACCGTATTCACACAAAGTGAAAGGGAATCTACGCTTCCAGGGTGTAGGCGCTATAGCNNTATTTTCGCAGTCGCACCTCTCGCTTAGCCATATCTCTACCTTCAAAGACATAATTTGAGAAAGATACGGCTCAGAAAACGAGACTTCACAAGATTAACGGTACCCAATGACAGGGTAGCTAGCCATGTGTAGAGCAATTTAATCAAGACGGACTCCTATGTGTGTTTGGGATCTGCCACAGCTGTAAGGTCTTAGGTGCCGTACGGTAATCAAAAAGCTTTGGCTATTGAATCTTCATCAGAAACTATCCTACTTACATAATCTGCTAAGTATGTTTTCCGCTGGTGTGTTTGCGTGTGTGGGCCTGACGGAAGTTCGTAACTCCTGTCCCGCTGGGCCTAGAGCGTTCAAATTTTGTTTTGGTAAAGGTGGCAGGATACAATGCCTATGGCAGGTAGGAGGACTAGAGTCCGCCCATAGGGAGCGAGCTATGCGCGAAATAAGTGTATGAAATAACGAAATAACGTAAATATATAGCTTCTGTCCGGCTTCTGTTCAAGTTTTGCAGGAGTACAAACGAAATTGTGGAAGAATGATAGATGGTGGGACTGGACCACGAACGCGGGAGGTTGGGCGTGAGTAAAAATTGTGACCTAAAGCGTTCAGATTCGGTAGGAGTTCAGGTGGCAGGATGATAGGTGGTAAAACTAGGCTCCGCCCACAGGAGGTGGAGCGTGAACGAAAATTGTTAATTTCAACATGGCGCATTCAAATTAGGTATTAGGTGCGGAAGGTAGATGGGAATGCCGATGGGTGGTGGCACTACCTGACTCCGCCCTTAGGAGGCGGTACATACGCGAAAATTGAAAATTTGCGACAGATTTAGTACACCGATGATAGGTATGTACTAGAAAATAAGAGAATTGGATCCTGCTCGCGGGAGCCTGGGAGTTATGGAGGGAGCGGATCATGCGTGGAATGAGCGTAACTTGAGTGAAAATACGCAGTAAATTCGAAATAAGAGAGGGAATGAACCATGTTATTGGAACACACAGTACTTGAGCGAGGCTTCTCTCAAGCGGGCAGGGCGCGCACGAAATATGGCGGTGAGAGTGAGTTCCGCTCAGAATCAATAGTTACTGTTCTTTTGGACCAAAGCTTCTGAACTTGGGGAGTCAACTTTAATACAAGAAAGCAGATAGCCCGGCTTCAGCCAGGCGAACCGACTGGTTTTCAATAAGGTTGTACCAGTTAATTTTGTTACTCGGCAATTCCGTATTTTACGCTGAGATTTTAGATAGTTCCAATTGCGCAAATACTGTACTTCCGACAAAGTTGCAATTCGCGTAGGACAGAAACAAAGAAGAAGACAGCGTGAACAAATTTAAGCAATGAATTGAGACTAGCGAAAGATCAATTAACTCTTGAGGTAGCAAAAAAGCTAGTTGACGGTGAAGTTACTCCTCCATTAAGAACTTGGAACGTTTGAATAGTTCAAAAATTGAAAGATCTCTCCAATGGCGTGGTCAAAGAAATAGAATATGTCAGGGAACTCAGCNTCATTTAACGATCATTTGCACTCAGAAAAATAGCTCTTACAACGATCAAAACAACAAGTAGGACCTACTGGCAACATTGGCAACATCGCGATCCTCCAGAGCCGCCGAAAAGGCCACCAAAACAGGCCAAACTCGGTGTAATGAGTTCTAGCAGTAGCTGGAATTGAAAAGAATTACAAACTTGACGCTTGAAATCTTCAAGAACTAGATTTCATCGTCGCTTGGAAATAAATTGGTATCCGTCAGCCCTATGTGATGTTTCTTTGATGAATACCTGTCTAATACCCCTAATCTCTCCTTTTCTTTGCTTTTATTTATGGTTGTTATTGTTTTGTGAGATCAGTGAGCAGATTCAACAATGAGTGACCCACAAAACCAGTTTGAGCTTTCCTGGCTCATAATAGTTGGCGGTATATTATAATATTTTGGGATACGTCTGAGTGGTAGGACCTCAAAATGACAAAATTGATTAACAATAGTAACTGAAGATGTTGATAGAGGAAAAGCACTTACCAGCGCTATCATGTCTTTCTCAGCACTAAGACAACGGTACGTCTACCGGCACGAAGCTTTATAGGGGGTGAGGTGAACCCATCGCCCAAAGTTCCGGTTCCAATCTTAGAAAAAATGGAAGGAGCCGACGGAGCAGAATTTTAAGTGGCAAGTTTTTTCAGTGATTGCAACGATGGTGTCACAGCTGGCCTCAGCTTTTGTCCATGTGGCCACATCCATTAATAATAATCCGATGGCTAACGAGCGAATGGTGTTGAATTGAACGAAAAAGCTATCTACTTGACAGCTACGGCTATATGGTCACTGTGCCGAATGAATTTCAAGACTGGTTTTGTAGTTGATCAAGATCAATTGGGAGCTCCTATTGAGCGGGTAACGGTCTTAGGTAACGAAAACCTTACCTTCTATAGGAGCTGGAAACGCTTCCTTTTCGTATTGTTTGCATAGATCACCTCATATGTGTTCGTGTACAAAGAAAGGGCTAACTCGATTAGTTCTGGCTTAGTCCGCTGGATTCTCTCCGCTCACCCGTACAGGCTAGCGAGGATTGTAAAAGCTGTACAAATAAGTTTAGTAATTACACTGTACAGGGTGTTTAGCTGACAAAGAAGCTGCGATGTGAAATTTCTGGAGCTGAAAGGGACACATTTCTGAAGAGTACGAAGGTGAAGATGATTGGACGACTCTTTGTTCTTAGTGCCTTCTGAGAAAGTGTGAAGCATTAAAAAGGTGTACGATGAAGTCTGTGGATATTGTCATCACATGCGGTGTCAAAGGCACAGTTCACGATAAGTTTGGGTAATCCAGGTTATGACGAAAATGGAATATAAGATAGATAATAGTGCGATGAAGGCGAAGGATCTGCGTGAGTCGGTGTTTCCAAAGTGGAAGGCTTTAAAAAATCGCTAAGAGGGGGATGGACGAGAAAGAAACCAGAAAAATGAAGAAGAGTGGGGCGTCCGGACGAGCTAAACAGTGTGTTTCACTGCGCGCGTGTGGGTCCTGGCGCAAATAACTGACTACGGTAAGCGAAAATTCATTCACTTATAGGCATGACTAAGCAAAAAAAACCTTAGTAACGGCGAAAATAACTCACCTCTTTCAACCTCTTGGGGCAGGAAATCAAATAAGGGATCGCGGCAGCGAAAAGATTAACAGACGAGAAAAGAATGGGATAAAAACATCGTCTCATCACTCGCCGATGAACTGTGTGTGGGTCCTAGGACGAACAACTGCAATGTGTATCGCCTTAGCACTCGTCTGACATGACATTGATTGAGGTGCGGGAAAGCCCCGCGAGCCAGCTTCTGAGAATTATCGTGAACTGTGCCTTTAATTCATTGGTTTCGGGGTTTCGGTGCATTTTGTAGATTCCTGTTATTTCAAGTATTTTTTGTTTGCTTTTCGGTGGTCTTCGAATCTTTCCCTTTTACCCTGGATCACTTACAATCAAGGTGAAGCGAACTAGATGCAATGGAGCATATTCATGCTGTCGAGGAGGGGTAACGGTTAGAAAGAATAATTTTGCTGTAAAACTTTGCAGTTTTCAGATAAAACCTTTCTTATGATTAGCCTCGAAAATAAACCCATCTAGCACACTAGACACTGGCCGACTCAGAGGAGCATTCACATAACTTCATAATTTCTCACTGAAGTAGAGCATAAGGTCTGTAAATCAGTTTGTTATTCATTTGAACCATTTAACATCATTTCTTGAATTGCGGAGGTGTTTTACTGGCAAGTGGTGTCACACATGGTATGTTGCGGATTCGTATCTTCGTTCGATATCCGATCAGGCCTACTAAGCCTTCCATCCCTCAGGGATGGGTCAGTTGATACCAGTTTCGTCTGTGAGGATGAAAGCACTAACTTGTACATCGGCCTACCCCCACAATTCATTGTATAGGCCTTATACGCATTCATTACGCCACCACGATTTTGAATGGAAGCCGAATACTAGAGCGCATCCCTCATACGGAACTGATTAACGTNAGGCCACTCAAATATTGAGACTTCCGCATCTACCCAGC